TGAGTAGGTGTGATGTGGTATTGACAAGAATGTATATTTTGTGTATTTAAAGTGGAGAGCTCTATAAATATTTATTAAGTTTACTTGTTCCGGATCTGAGTTCGAGTCCTTGATATCCTTATTAATTTTCTGTCTCATTGAGTCTAAGTCTCTATGTATCTGGGTGTTAGGATCGTTAGCTCTTGTTGTTGCATTGATCCTTTTACCACTATATCCTTTTACCACTATATCTTTGTTGCTTTAAAATCTATTTTATGAGATACGAGAATTGCAACTCCTGCTTTTTATTTATTTGTTTATTTTTGCTCTCCATTTGGTTGGTAAATCTTTCTCCATCCCTTTGTTTTGAGTCTTTGTGTATCCTTGCATGTGAAGTGGGTCTGGATGTAGCATACCGTTGGGTTTTGGCTGTATCTTTTGATTGGGGGATTTAGTTGATTTAAATTTAGGGTTACTGCCATTTGATGTTAACTGGCTGTTTTATCCATTCGTTGATGTAAGTTCTTTATGTTGATGTTCTTTATGTTTTGCTATATTTTTAGAAAGGCTAATAATGGTTGTTTCTTTCTATGTGTAATGCTTCTTTCAGAAACTCTTGTAAAGCAGGCCTGGTGGCAATAAAATCTCTGAGTACTTGCTTGTTCATAAAAGATTTTATTTTTCCTTCAGTTGTGAAGCTTAGTTTTTCTGGATGAAATTCTGGGCTGAAAGTTCTGTTCTTTAAGGATGTTGAATATTGGCCCCCACTCTCTTCTGGCTTGTAGAGTTTCTGCCAAGAGATCTGCTGTAAGTCTGATAGGCTTCCCTTTGTGGGTAACCTGACCTTTCTCTCTGGCTGCCCTTAGTATTTTCTCCTTCGTTTCAACCCTGGTGAATCTAACGATTATGTGCCTTGGGGTTGCTCTTCTTGAGGAATATCTTTGTGGTGTTCTCTGTATTACCTCGGGTTGAATATTGTCCTGCTTTGCTAGTTTAGAAAATTTTCCTGAATAGTATCCTGAATAATATTTTCCAGCTTGGATTCATTCTCTCTGTCGCATTCAGGTACACCTATCAAACGTAAATTTGGTCTTTTCACATAGTCCCACATTTCTTGGAGACTTTGCTCATTCCTTTTTATCCTTTTTTCTCTAATCTTGTCTTCTCGTTTTATTTCATTAAGTTGGACTTCGACCTCTGATATCCTTTCTTCTGCTTGAACAATTCAAGTGTTTAAACCTGTGCATACTTCTCGGAGTTCCTGTATTATATTCTTCAGTTCCATTAATTCACTTATATTCCTCTCTAAGTTGTCTATTCTCATTAGAATTTTGTCAAACCTTTTTCCAAAGTTCTTAGTTTCTTTACATTGGGCTACAACATGTTCTTTGAACTCACAGAAGTTTCTTATTATCCATCTTCTGAAGCCTGATTCTGTTAATGGGATATGCTCGTTCTCCATCAAGCCTTGTTCCCTTGTTAACGAGGAACTGTGATCCTCTTTAGAGGGAGAGGTATTCTGATTTTGAGTATTCTCAGCCTTTTTATGCTGGTTTCTTCCCATCATTGTAAATTTATCCACCTGTCGTCCTTGTAATTACCAACTTTCAAATTAGGTCTCTGAGTGGACATCCAAGTTGTTAATTCCAGGGAAATACGAGCAACCCACTGTGCCGGCCAAAACAGTGGCGTTAAGACTGATGGTGCTTTTCTGCCTGGGAATTTCCAGTCTGGCTTCCTTCTTGAGTTGGTAATAGGCAACTCTGCCTTCCCGGAGCTCCAAACCTGGGTCAGAAGGGGAGCCAGTCCCATTTACACTGCACCAAGAGCTGCCACACCGAGGTGCCAGCAAAATCGCTGCGCCAGCCACAAGAGTTGCGCTGGCGACCTGTGCGGCTCCTCCAAACCTCGGTCAGAAGGGGAACCAGTCCCGTTTACTCTGCACCAAGAGCTGCCGGGCCAAGGTGCCGGTAAAACAGCTGCGCTGGCCACAAGAGTCACGCTGGCGACCCGTACGGCTCCTCCACTGGGAATCTTCTGCTCCGTGAGTGACCAAAATTTGTCTGAAAGTGTGGTGTCCTCTCGTTCTCTGCACTTTCACTGGGAGCTGCAATCCCGAGATGTTAGCGATCAGCCATCTTGGATAGTTCTCCTCCTATTTTGCTCCTTTTTAGAGAAGTTTCTATTCATCAATGCAAGGAAGAATGCAGAATCGCCACAGAAAGGAATTTAACCTCTAGGAATCACTACTCTAGAAAATGACAAAAATTAAACCACTGAACTTGCAATAGGAGAAGATTACTTAAAACGTTTTCATCCACTCATTACTGAATTTCATGTAAAAGAGGAACAATATTTAGAACTAAAGAACGTTTTCCAGATCACATAATCAAACCCCTTTTATTTGCAGGCATAGACACTAAGGCCCAAAGCAGAGGTTTGCTTCCATGTCTATGTGCCAGTGGCTCCACTGTGTCCTTAAAATTACCTCATAAAGCTAATTTTTTTCTGAGACAGACACCAAAAAGACAAAGTGCAAGGTCATAGAGAATGCATATTTCTCACCTTAACGGTTATTGCCAAAATGCCTATGAAGATAGTCACGTTGGTTTATGTACCAATAAACATGTTTGAGAATGCTGGTTTTCCCAAAGTTTCATCAGAACATACTATCAGACAAAATTGATTTTAAATAAAATCCATTTTTGTAAAAATCATATTTCATTGTTATAATTCCCCTTACCACTAATGAAGTTAAGCAAATGTTAACGTGTTTAGATAACTGTATTTCTTTTTTTGATTGTTTTTTTTGAAATGGAGTCCCACTCTGTCACCCAGGCTGGAGTGCAATGGCTTGATCTCAGCTCACTGCAACCTCCACGTCCCTGGTTCAAGTGATTCTCCTGCCTCGGCCTCCTGGGTGGCTGGGATTACAGGCATTCACCACCATGGCTAGCTAATTTTTGTATTTTTTAGTAGAGATGGGGTTTTACCATGTTGGCCACACTGGTCTTGAACTCCTGACCTCAGATGATCCACCTGCCTCATCTTCCCAAAGTGCTGGGATTACCAGCACTGGTAATTGTGAGTCACCCCTCCCAGCTGATAACTGTATTTCTTCTGTGAATTTCTCTTTTTCTTTCTCTTTCTCTCTCTCTCCTTTCTTTCTTTCTTCTCTCTCTCTCTCCTTTCTTTCTTCTCTCTTTCTTTCTTTCCTCTCTCTCTTTCTTTCTTTCTTTCCTCTCAAGATAGAGTTTCATTCTTGTTGCCCAGGCTGTAGTGCAGTGGCAAGATCTCGGCTCACTGCAACATCTGCCTTCCGGGTTCAAGCGATTCTCCTGACTCAGCCTCCTGAATAGCTGAGATTGCAGGCATGCGCCACCGTGCCCAGCAAAGTTTGTATTTTTGGTAGAGTTGGGGTTTCTCCATGTTGGTCAGGCTGGTCTCAAACTTTTGACCCCAGGTGATCTGCCTGCCTTAGCCTCCAGAAGTGCTGCGATTACAGGCATGAGCCACAGTGCCTGGCCATGAATTTCTTATTCTTTGTCCATGTGTTATTGGTCATTTTTTTTTAACTAATTAACTAGTGTTACCCTGTTACTCTTTACATATTGCAGTTATTAATTCCTTAGCTGTTACATATGCTTCAATTTTTTTTTGACTGTTTTCTCTAAGAGTAACTCAACATAACTTTAATGAAATGTTGATTAACAAAAAAGGGTATCCATGTTTCTGTGGGAACCATTACATAAGTTTTGCTTCAGAAGGTTCTTTGTATTTTGTTCGGCTTTCACTGTTGCTTGGGCAAGGAAAATTAATTTTATAAAATTAGGTGACTACTTATTTCACTGTATAGTCAATGGAAAAGGGACAGAATGCAGATATGAATCTCTACTTCAGATCCAAAGATCCCAAGTGTCAACAACACTTATTCTGTAGCTGCCATCTCTGTTTTAAAAATCTAGTTTTCCAAGCATAGCACACTTCTTCTCTAAGGGCCAGAAATGAATTTCAAACCATCCTATTGTATCTTTTCATCAGGGAAGAAACTGCTTCTTTATTATTTTTTTTTTTTGAGATGGAGTCTCGCTCTGTTGCCCAGGATGGAGTGCATTGGTACAATCTCAGTTCACTGCTACCTCCACCTCTTGAGTTCAAGCAATTCTCCTATCTCAGCCTCCTGAGTAGCTGGGATTACAGGCACATGCCACCATACCTAACTAATATTTGGATTTTTAGTAGAGATGGGGTTTCACCATGTTGGCCAGGCTGGTTTTGAGCTCCTGACCTCAAGTGATGCACCTGCCTCAGCCTCCCAAAGTGCTGGGATTACAGACATGAGCCACCACGCCAGAGGAGAGCTGCTTCTTTTCTCTGTGGCTCTCTAGAAACCAGCAAATTCCGTGATGGCTATTTATCTACAATTTATTTCTAAGGATATTTTACCAGTGATATCTTAAGTGAGATAACAGCCCCACAAAAAGAAGTCTATAGCATGCAGTGTGGCTCAATGCCTCTGAGAAGTAGCAATAGCTTTTTCCCTCAGATAGCCCTCAGTCCTTCCCCTGGTCATCTTTCTGTCCTAGACTGTGGCCTAACTGCTCACGTGGATTAAACAGCATGCAAACAGCCACTAGTTGGCTTTCTTATAGGAGGTGTTGTTGACTGGAAAGACTGGCTCATATTTAAACTCTGCCCTTTTTGCAAATGCTAGACTTACTCAATAGTATTCCAGAGGAAATTTTGTTTTGAACACAGTTACTGAATCTGACCAGATTACAGACATAGCACCAACCATATTGCTCAATGCTAAGACACAGCATCTTTGATTTTCTGTATGTCATAACATACTGAAGACTGAGTTATTGATGGAGCCATTTTTGCAGCTACACATCCTCCTATAGTTCTTCTTCTCTATTCAGGCGGGCCCTAGAGCCCATGGCAAGATGATTTCCTTGAGGAAAAAGAGCCCGAGACATAGAAGTTTAATTTGTATCATGAACCCTGCCTTTTCCCCTCCTTTAGGAATCTGATTCTTCTTCCTCTTCCTCCTCTTCTTCTGTCCCAGGACTCTATGCTTCACTCCAGTGTAGGTGGGTTGACAGATGCTTTATTGTCTACATGTACGTACATGACATATGGCTGTTCAGGCGCAGTTGGAGAAGACAGCATCTCATCCCCTCTTCTAGAATCACTCATTGATTGAAGGGCCAAGGCTTCAACCTTGACACGGTTCAGCTGGTCACACAGGGCTGCATTCAACAGCAGCAGCATCGCCTCCTCCTTGCGCAGTTCCTGCCCCGGTTCAGCATGTTTCCTGGTCACAGTGCTGCCCTCCGCATGTCCTGGTGCTGCAAATATTTGTATATAATTACATTTGGTCATTTAATTTTTCAGTGTCTTTTTAATAGAGAAAACAATAGCTTTATGAACTCAAAATCTGTAAGTCCTTTGTATTTTCTAAAGACCTTCCTCGATTACAAAAATTCCCCTTATATTTTAGAAATTTTATTCAGCTTGTCGATTTTGCATCTGAAATTGATGTTACAATAAAATAAAGATAAAATTTAATATTTTCCTTCAGATGTATTGCCAAGTCCCAATATAGTTTGTTGAATATTTCTTTTTTCTCTGCTGATTTTAAATACAAAAATTCTCATACACAAAATTTCCATACAGACACGTGGCTGTGGCTCTATCTGATATTCTTTCCATTGATCTATTGGCATATTCCCATGGCACCATCTATGTTCAATTACTGTAGAATGAACATGTATAGATGTATGTATATCTATCTATATCAGAGCAGTTATCTCTCATTGTTCTTACCTTTTAAAATGATTATAGTTATTCTTGCCCATTTATTCTTTGGTACATTTTGCATCAAGTAATTGTAAGAAGTGAATGCAACCATTCTTTAACATGGTTTTGATGTTAAAAAGACCGTAAAGAAATGAAGTACACATTGGCCAACTTAGCATACCTTTTGAAAGATGCTGTTCAAAATTCTATATTGATCTTACAAGCTCATTCCAGGGAAATACGGGTCGCAATCTCACCATTTGAGAATGTATCTCATTATTTTGAGATACATCACTGATGGTTGAAAGACACTGTAAGGTAAAGAAGTGGCATGCACGTGTATGTTTATTGCGGCACTGTTCACAATAGCAAAGGTGTGGAACCAACCCAAATGCCCATCAATGATAGACTGGATAAAGAAAATGTCATCATTTCAGACACAGCCTCAAAATCACTCCAAAACCACCTTATTCTAACACAAAGTAGACTTTGCACTCACAGTTCTTGTCCACTTATTGTGACACATGGTTTGAATCATCCTATTGCTTCTGAGGCATTCTTTGAAGTTGCTTCCATTAGGTTTATGAAATTTGTGAATTGGGAATTTTTACTTAACTTTTAATCTTTCATCACCTTCAAACTCTCGAATAGGCTAAACATGCTGCAGCCTGTGAAAGGCCCTGTGAACCTCAATGCTAGAGGAATTCTGTTAAACAGACCCACTGCATGGATTTCATTTTACCTCAAGCTTCACCACAAGAGTTACAGCTGCTGAATTACAAATAGGGTGATAATTCTCATTTGCTTCTATCTCAATTGCAACTTAGATAAAGACTTTAAAAACAAAGTTACCTTCTTGGTACTGCTTCTTACATGGACTCTCCCCGTTTTAATCACAAGAGTTACTAATTTTTTTAGGAGTCAAAAGGTGGATTAATATGAGTTATTTCACCCTCAAAAGACCTCACACCTCATGGCCTTAAACCTGAAAGAGACAGAGTTTAAAATATAATAATTCATTGCTGGGCATGATATTAGTCCTCAAGTATTTCCACAACTACTTGTACTTCAGGGAAACTCCCATCAAGAACCTCCCTGATGGTTAAAAGACACCGTAAGGTAAAGAAGTGGCATACACACATATGTTCATTGTGGCACTGTTCACAATAGCAAAGACATGGAATCAACCCAAGTGGCCATCAGTGACAGACTGGATAAAGAAAATGTGACACCATTGAGATATAATCTCATGCCAGTTAGAACGGTAATCATTAAAAAATCTGGAGACAACAGATGCTGGAGAGGATGTGGAGAAATAGAAATGCTTTTACACTGTTGGTGGGAGTGTACATTAGTTCAACCATTGGAAGACAGTATGGCAACTCCTCAAGGACCTAGAAATAAAAATTTCATTTGACCCAGCAATCCCATTACTGGGTATATACCCAAAGGATTATAAACAGTTCTACTATAAAGACACATGCATACATACGTTCATTGTGGCACTGTTTACAATAGCAAAGACTTGGAACCAACCCAAATGCCTATCAGTGGTAGACTAGATAAAGAAAATGTGGCACATATACACCATGGAATACTATGCAGCCATAAAAAAGCTTTCATGTCTTTTGCAGGTACATGGATAAATCTGGAAACCACTACTCTCAGCAAACTGGCAAAAGAACAGAAAAACAAACACTACATGTTCTCACTCATAAGTGGGTGTTGAACAATGAGAACACATGGACACAGGGAGGGGAATACCACACACTGGGGCCTGATGGGGGCGTGGACGAGCTAGGGGAGGGATAGCAGAAGGTGGGGGGATTGGGGAGGGATAACATTAGGAGAAATACCTAATGTAGATGATGGGGGAATGGATGCAGCAAACTACCATGGCATGTGTGTGCATATACCTACGTAACAATCTTACAGGATCTGCATATGTACCCGAGAACTTAAAGTATAATAATAATAAAAAAAAGAAAATGTGGCACATATACATCATGGAATACTATGCTGCCATTAAAAAGGATGAATTCATGTCCTTTGCAGGGGCATCGATGAAGCTGGGAACCATCATTCTCAGCAAACTGAAACAAGAACAGAAAACCAAATAGCGCATGTTCTCACTCATTAGTAGGTGTTGAACAATGACAACACATTGAAACAGGGAGGGGAACATCACACACTGGGGCCTGTTGGAGGGGGTTGGGGGCTAGGGAAGGGATAGCATTCGGAGAAATATCTAATGTAGATGACGGGGTGATGGATGCAGCAAACCACTATACCTATGTAACAAACCTGCACGTCTGCGCATGTACCCCGGAACTTAAAATTTAATTTAAAAACAGATACAGTCTGTATTAGTAATTTGGTTCATCTGGGTTACTGGAGCTTCCTTTCATCATTGCTTCTCTTCTGTTTCTATGCATTGATATTGCCTTCCCCGAATACACCATTAGCTTCGAGTTGATTTTGTATAAAGAAAGAGCTGTTTAGCAAAGGTCTTGTTTCATTACTGTCAACACAGAGTTAGAAAATGACTATTTAATAAAGTTGTCAAGACCTTGAAATGATCACTTAGCCAGCTCATCAAAATGATGGAAAAGAAAGAGCAAACTAACTTTGCATGATCCTGTCTTTATTATCTGTTGGTCATCAAACAACGAACAGCTGCACAGACAATCCCTAATAACAGTAGCTCTAAAACAATAAAAGTGGGGAAATAGTAACTATGTAGTGGAGAAACCTGGCAGACACCTCCTTCACCAAGTGGTCAAAGCCCAGTAACCGAACAAATCAAATCCTCTGCCTCCTTATGCGATGCACTGGGGAGAATGCTGCACCCGTTTTATGCTATTGCTGCCCCAACCTGATTCTCATTGTGGGGATACCTCAAGCAAACCCAAGTGGAAGGACATTCTACAAAATATCAGCCTGTCCTCCAAAAATGTCAAGTCATAAAAATTAAGGAAAGACTGAGGAACAACTGTTTCAGACTTAAGGAGGCTAAAAAGACAGACAACCTAATAAATCTTTCAGGATTTTCTTTTGTCGTAAAGCATATTACTGGGACAACTGGCAAAATTCAAATAAGGTCTGTGGATTAGATAATAAAACTGTAACAATGTTAATTTCCTGGAATTTACTATTTGTACTATGGTTATCTGTTTTGAAAGAAATTCTTGTTTTGTCAATTCAGTCTCCTGATCAATCCTAGCTACAAGGGAAACATGTGAAATTCAATCTACATACCAGGCCTAGTGAGCTGGTTAAGAATTGGAGTTCTACTACCCATGATAAAGGAGAGAATCTATACTAGAATAAAACCAGTCGTCTTAGACAGGAAGTATGTGTTCTTGGGAAATGCAGTTGTAAAAAGATAAAGTCCTAGGAGAGGAACACCTATTTTAAGGCTATCTGGGCAATCTCACAGATGAGAATGAGATTATGCATTCCACAGTCTCAGTTGGACTAGAATGAAAACATTAAGGACTGAGTGCCTCGCTCATATGTTATCTCAGGGGTGAGACCATCTCCTGCACCGCTACTTTCCTTTATCTCGTGCCCACCGGTTTCCTCTCCCTACCTGCCTTGCGGACATATGAATCCAAATAGTGTTCCCAGTTTTCAAGTCTAAATGGCATGGCAGGCCCAGTCTTCACCATCAACTGCTGGTGCTCATTATATCTCAGTTTCTATTGAACTGATTCCACACACACTTTCATAAAAGAACTTCCGCGACCACAACATGTCTAGAAGTGCTTTGGAACAGTTGTCCATCCCGGGCTAATCCCATGTGGCTTTAAGGAGCCAATGTCACATGGTTATGATTTGAGATTAGAGGATTATGATTATGATTAGAGATTCTCCCAGAAGAATAAATGGTCAGGACGAGAAATTATTGTGATGCCTGGAGGATATTTCAGAATACTTTTCATTTGAAAAAAAAAAGCCAAAATCAAGATGAAATGATCCATTCACTTTCAGAAGCAAAAAACTGTTAGGATTGATCTTAAGAACAGCAAATCAAGTAAAGTGGAAATGTACAGTAAACATGATGAAGAAAATTACCCCTAGTAAAAAAATCCATCGATGGAATTTTTTCAAAGACTTTTCCCCAAGAGCATACGTATAGAAATAGATGGGGCACAGGAGGGGCAAATCGGCAGCAAATCAAAGCAATCTGCAATGAGATTAAAAGGGAACCGAAGCCTGTGACATTATCCCTCTCCCCAGTCAGCTTTCTGCCTTTACTTGAATCTCTTCCTAAACTTAGGTTGTGGTAAATCTGGCAGCTGTCACAAAATACCATCTGTCCTAAGAAAATGGGTGCAGAGGTGGCCGTGACCCAGGGGATTTTCCCAAATGCTGTCGGCATATATTTTTGGTCTAATCAAGTCCCTGACAAGAAAGTGAAAACCCTACAAGGAGAATCTCTGAAGCTGCACTCAAAAGAGGAATGGGTGTAAGTTTGGGGCAGGGGCTTCCCACCATGAAAAAAAGGAAGACGAGGAGGAGTACAACTTAGGACAGCTCACAACTCAACTCCAGGGGAGGCAGGGGAGAAGAGAGAGAGACATGCCAATTATATAAAGCAGGTGTGGACTTTGCTGTTTGAGAATCCATCCATATCTGGTTAAATACATGGGCTAGTCAGAATTGCCTGCAACTTTTACTCTACCAGCTGAGAGTACACTTCTAACCTGAGTAATTTAAATAATGGAATTGCTCAGTCTTTATGAACTGGGTAAATTGAAAGCTGTTCTCATCAGCTCTGTTTAAGGACATTATCCAAGCATTTGAGAGGAAACCATTTTAACCTTGGTCTTCCGTCATTGGTAGCAGGAGGTTTTCTCCAACTTGCAAGGAAAGCCATTCACTCACCTTTAAGATAACTTCCTGCTACTGGTTCTTTCAGTGGGTACAAAAATATTTGGCCAGTGCTTGCAGTGGGATTGGGATGCCTTTTTGTCGTCCAGGCTGGAGTGCAGTGCTGTGGGCATGGTTCACTGCAGCCTCCATCCCCTGGGGTAAAGCCATCCTTCTCAGCCTTCCAAGTAGCTGGGGAGCTAGGACTACTGGCACATACCTGCACTACCTAAGGTTTTTTTTTTTTTGGGAGATGGGAATATCACTTTGTTACCCAGTCTGGTCTGTAACTCCTGGCCTCAAGAAATCTTCCTGCTTCAGCCTGAGTCACTGAAATTACAGGCGTCAGCCACCACACCAGGCTCTGAATGCTTTTTAAACTAAGCCCTTGGTCATTGTGCTGCACAGGTATTAGGAAAACAGCAGACAGGCTGATGAATACTTTAAAGCTTACTTATCTGTGCCATTGGGGGCTCCCCAAAACTGATGGAGAAATGCAGCCTCCTGGTTCCACGAGATGTTTGAGAGGAATGTGGGAGATGCTTCTAAAACCTAAAACCTCACCTAGGCAAAGGCCAGATGCATACAGATAAGAAAAGCACAGAAATAACCTGCAGAGGTTGGGCGTGGTGGCTGCCGCCTATAATCCCAGCACTTTGGGAGGCCAAGGTAGGTGGATCACGTGAAGGCTGGAGTTCAAGAACAGCCTGGCCAACATGGTGAAACCCTGTCTCTACCAGAATGTGCAAAAAAAAAATTTATCCGGGCATGGTGGCAGACACCTGTAGTCCCAGCTACTTGGGAGGCTGAGGTGGGAGAAGCGCTTGAACCCGGGAGGCGGAGGTTGCAGTGAACCAAGATCACAGCACTGCACTCCACCCTGGGCAACAACAGAGAGAGACCCTGTCTCAAAAAAAAAAAAAAAACAAAGAAATAACCTGCAAAGGAAAAACATGCACACCACACACACTACACACACACACTACACACGCGCCACATGTATACATCACACCATGCACAATGCACACACTACACACACCACACATATACACCACGCCACACATACGCACACACCCACACATCACACCACGCTTACCACATACATATCCACCAAACACTACACCACACACACTACACACCACCTGCACACACATACCATGAACAAACTGCATGCACACGCACACACACACACACACACCGTGCACCTCAGGCAGCAGTGGCAGTCCATGGCTACTTCTTTCTCACACGTAAGTGACCCCGTGAATTCATTTCTGCACAGGTGTCTGAGCAGTGGATGGGGTCTCTCCCTGTCAGTGACAGAAGGACCTGCAGGCTGGAAACTGTGGGAGTCTACAGAATTTTCAGTATCAGAGGGGTTGTCTATAGCCCCTGATGCGAGCGGATCCTTTGGCATAAGTGTGGAACCTGTTCATTTGCCGGGAAAGGAGAAGGAGCACCAGCACACAGTCTGTGTTCATGCTGAGTGGGGTGTCCTGAGACCTGTTGGGGTGCACCAGCCTGTGAGGGAGGCACAGAGCCCTGTTGATGTGAATGCACACATCCTTCCAAAGTGTGGGGCGTCCAGGCTTCACCTCCAGGCATGCTTTGTCTTGTCTCTCACTCTGTCCTCCAGGTGCTGAGAAGGACTTCCTTGAAGGTGCTCACTGAGCTGAAATGCCTGAGGAATGCAGGACTCCCTTGTTACACTGGGTTCTGTGCTTCATTAAAAGAAAAATAGTGTACATATATATGTATGTATACATGTAACATATACTATAATGAAAATGTCAGACGTAATGTAAGGTGTAATCTATAGTATGTTCAATATATTAAGGTGTATTACATATATTTATAGTATAATAAATACTATCTATAACATATTCTAATATATAACACATATAGATGGTATGTGCTTATATGTACATGTATGCATGCCTTTAATTAGCAAACACTTACGTACCAATTTCTATGTACACTGTCCCAAGCCCTTAATAAATAACTCATTAATTTAACCTTCAAAACAACCCAATGCTACAGCTGCCTCCCATCCCCAACTCCACTGTACAGATGGGGAAACCGCGCCTGGGAGGGTTGGATAACATGCCCCAGGGTGCACAACTAGCATGTGATGAAGTGGGATTTAAACCACCCCTTGGCTCCTGAGTCTTGTAGTCATGTTCTACTCCAGCACCCTGTCGACACTCACTCTTACCTGAGCAGGGACCTGCAAGGCAGAATTTAGTCAGGCTTCATTGGGCAGTTTGGTAATACATAAGAATTTTCCCTGGGCATTTTTCCAGGCCACAAACTCTCTAAGAGGATTTGAGGGATGTGCATCTACACCTCTGACCATTCACATTCAGCTTTGCAAAGCCTCAGACTGGATGAAGAGAGTTGTGGATAACGAATTTGTTAACACTGAAAAGAAATGTAAGGCCAGGTGCGGTGGCTCAAGCCTGTAATCCCAGCACTTTGGGAGGCTGAGGCAGGTGGATCACAAGATCAAGAGATCAAGACCATCCTGGTCAACATGGTTAAACCCCATCTCTACTAAAAATACAAAAAATTAGCTGGGCATGGTGGCACGTGCCTGTAATCCCAGCTACTCAGGAGACTGAGGCAGGAGAATTGCCTGAACCCAGGAGGCGGAGGTTGCGGTGAGCCGAGATCGTGCCATTGCACTCCAGCCTGTGTAACAAGAGCGAAACTCCATCTCAAAAAAAAAAAAAGAAAGAAAGAAAGAAAGAAATGTTAATTGTGAATTGTGGTGTACTTTCATGCTAAAGAGTGTGAAAAGTCAGAAGAAATCTGCTTTCATAAGATATTGTTTAAGCTATGCATTTATTTACAAGAGATGAAAATAGAAATAATCTAAATTCAGATTTAAAAAAAAAAACAACAACAACATGCTACCAAATAACACAAAGATAAAGTTGGCAGGGCGCGGTGGCTCATGCCTGTAATCCCAGCACTTTGAGAGGCCGAGGCGGGTGGATCATGAGGTCAAGAGATCGACACCATCCTGGTCAACATGGTGAAACCCCATCTCTACTAAAAATACAAAAAATTAGCTGGGCATGGTGACACGTGCCTGTGATCCCAGGTACTCAGGAGGCTGAGGCAGGAGAATTGCCTGAACCCAGGAGGCAGAGGTTGCGGTGAGCCGAGATCGCGCCATTGCACTCTAGCCTGGGTAACAAGAGCGAAACTCTGTCTCAAAAAAAAAAAAAAGAAAAGAAAAAATATATGTGTGTATGTATATGTGTATGTGTGTGTGTATCTTATCGATATAAATGTCTCATTATTATTTGTAATAAAATTCTAGATGTCACCTTGTTAAGCCCATTATCAACTAGTTATTACTAACCATCACTGCCCTTTTGGGCTATTTTCACCTGCTTTAATTTATTTTGCTCTTTTTGAGGAAGTTTTACCCAACTAAAGTTAAGTTCTCCATTAACACTGCTTCTTACTTAACATCGTTTGAATATAGAATGTAGTCAAAGATAGTCAAGGATTCAAGGATCTATTTTCTCATAGCAATAGCATTTGCTTGTGGAGTATCTTAAGAACACTTTGAGATGAGTGAGAATGAGATTTTGAAATTGAAGATGAGTTTAGAGCCAGTGCCCTCATCACCCTCCTTCTCTGGATGAGCCTCATGGAGCAAAAATGCCACGTGGAAATGAAGTGGCATGCAGTGCTGAGAAGGATTTTACAGTTTATAAATTCTTTCCTCCACAGTGTCTCTTGGCATATCTCAAAAAGAGCCGTTGTCCTGACGATGCCCATGATCTCCCAGAAAGAGGTAAAGAGAAATGACACTTGTGTCTAGAGCAGCCGAGAGGTAGGCAGAGCCCAGACCCCCATGGGGCTGCCCAAGTTAGCAAATAGAAATACAGGAAGCTAAA